GCTGGTCTCAGGTGGATCCTAAGCTCAAACAATCCACCTGCTTCTGCCTCCTAGAGTGCTAGCATGACAGGCGTGAGCCACAGCACCCAGCTGAACTCTATTATCTTAATTCTACAGCTGAGGAAATGAACCATGAAGATGTAAGTGATGTGTCAAAGATCATGACTAACAAGTACAAGGATGTATCCCCAGTCTGCTCAATAGCAGAGCTGAGCCCCGTCCCTGCTCACAGGCCGTCACACAGCCGATGAAACTCCTGCCTCCATGCCTCTGCCCACACTATGTCCTCTGCCCTGATTATCATCTGTCCAATACCATGCGTCCACTCCCTACAGCATGTGCATCTCCCTACCCACTGTGCCCACCCATCTGCCCACTCAGCAAAGGTTTGCTGAGTCCCAGCTGTGGACCCACTGGAAGCTAGATGGACATGGCCATGCCTGCAGAGAACAAGCTCTGCCAAGTCATTGCACAAATGTATCATTCTAAACTGAAGTCAGACCAACAAAGGCACACAAGGTTTACAACCACATGAAACATGGGCTTGCTCTGTCTGAGGGGGTCACAGGAGCCTTCACAAAGGACTCAGCACTTGAGCTGTGACCTGAAGGAGGTACCTGGGGTGCAGAGGGCACAAGCAGAGGGAAATGGTGCAGGTCCATGGAAGGAAGAAGGAAGCGGGCTGGTGTGGCTGCCGGGGCCATCACGCAAAGAGGAAATGGGAGGAGATGAGGCTGCAGGGTTAGCCCAGGAGGCCACAGTGAAGATTCTGGATTTTATCCTAAGAACACCAGAAGGGAGTGGAGCAAGGCAATGATGCAACCCAGTGACTGCTGAACAGTGAAGGCCAGGGTAGAGACCAAGGGCAGGAGACAGTCTGTTGAGAACCTATTTTGCAACAGCCCAGGCAGGAGACAGTGATGACTTCAACAGGGTGGTAAAGCAGTCAGAGGACACCGGGGTCAGCTGTCCTCTCTCCATCAGGTATGGAAATGGTACGTCCTGTCCCCCACTTGCATGCAAAACTCCAGGCAAGATGCATCTTGCATCCACCAGAGCCTAGAACAATACCTGGCATGGGCCAAGTGAGATGACTGAATAAAGAAAACCACAAACCAGCCATGTGCAAAGGCTCACACCTATCATCCTAACATTCTGGGAGGCCAAGGCAAGAGGATCCCTTCAGCTCAATGAGTTCAAGACCTGCTTAAGCAAGAGTGAGACCCCATCTCTACTTTAAAAAATAGAAAAATTAGCCAGGTATTGTAGCAGGTGCCTGTAGTCTCGGCTACTTGGGAGGTGGAGGCAGGAGGATCACTTGAGCCCAGGCGTCTGAGGTTGCTATAAAGCTAGGTTACTAACCTGGGGCAATAGAGTGTCAGAAAAGGGGAAGGGGGAGAGGAAGAGGGGGGGACAATGAACTCCAAGCACACAACTGGACTAAGCGGGCTGGAAACATACAAGCAGTGCCCTGCCAGCCACTGCAATATCTTGACATTCAAAACAGTAAAACTGGCCGGGTGTGGTGGCTCACGCCTGTAATCCTAGCACTCTGGGAGGTCAAGGCAGGTGGACTGCCTGAGCTCACCAGTTTGAGACGAGCCTGAGCAAGAGCAAGACCTCGTCTCTAAAAATAGTCAGACATGGAGGCTATTCTGCGGGTTTCAACTTGCTTGATTATCAGTGTTGCTTGGAGGGCTTCATTTGCTTCCATCTGCCCAGATTTTATGTTGCTTAATATTTATGCATCTCAAAACCTTCATAATGGCCCACACACAGGCTAAAAGTTGCAGACCAGGAGAGAAAGGAGATGAGGATGAGCCCCCACCAAGTCGAGAGAGTCCCCTCCATTCCAGCGTCCCAGCTCCTGGGCTGTGTGTGACATGTCTCACCATACCACGGGAAGAGCAGGCCTCAGCTCATGCCTGGCACTCTCCCCACAGGGGAGAAAAGTCAGGGACTTTCGCCACAACTGAGTGGGAGGTGATATAATAATCACCCCTTCTTCACAGGGCTGTAGTACAGAGTTGATGTGACCATGGGCAGTATGTGGACCCTGTTTCAAGGCTTCCTTCATGTTAGCAATCCCATTTCCCCACGAGGACACTGAGACAGAGACAGAGTCCTCAGCCACGTACTCTTCGGCCTCATTCTGTAAGGGGAAATGGGAAGCTCAGGCAGAAACTTGCTTAAGGTCACGCGGTCCTGAGCTATGAACGTCCCCAACTGGGCTTGACCTAATGTGTGTAGCTTTCTGTTCTTTGCCAAGTGACAAGATTAGCCTATTAGGCCAGGTGGGGTGGCTGTTGCCTAAAATCCTAGCACTTTAGGAGGCCGAGGCAGGTAGATGACTTGAGGCTAGGAGTTTGAGACCAGCCTGAGCAACATAGCAAGATCTCATCTCTACAAAAAACTTAATAATTATCCTGGCATGGTGGCACATGCCTGTAGTCCCACTTATTTGGGAGGCTGAGGCAGGAGGATCACTTGAGGCCAGGAGTTTGAGGTTGCCGTGAGCTATGATAATGCCACGATACTCTAACCAGGGCAACAGAGCAAGACTTTATGAAAGAAAGGAAAGAAAGTCTATCAGCCAGTTCAGAATTTCAATAGCTTTCTAAGTAATTGGTGGGCCCCACTCACCATTTTTCTAAATCTAGGCCCAAGGAAGGAATGTTTTTTCCTAGAAAAATAAGAAGGCGCTGGCCAGGCGTGGTGGCGCACGCCTGTAGTCCCAGCGCTATGGGAGGCCGAGGCGGGTGGATCACCTGTGCTCAGAGGTTTGAGACCAGCCAAGAACCCCGGAGCCAAACGAGCCAGAGTGAGACCCCGTCTCTACAACAACAGGACAACGAGACAGCCAGACCTTGTGATTCCAGCTCCATGGGGGGCAAGAAAACACTACAGGAGGAAGAAGTAATAAAAAAAAAATTAAAAAAAAACCTTCAAAGTAATAAAGTTGAAATAAAAAAAAATTAAAAAAAAAAAAGAAAAAAGAAGGCGCCTGAGTCTGTCAGGCCAAGGCCTCTCTGACCCAGTGATACTCTGGGGGCAATGACAGCAACAGAGCACTTCTCTGTGGGAGGCACCATGCCAGCTACACTGCCACCCTTCCTGCCAAGCTCAGCCACACCCCTCCCCACCTGCACTAGCTAAAGAGAACAGTAACAAGCCACACGCAAGCACGCTCAACTGCGTGGAATGGTGTGGAAACACCCACAACTAGAGGCAGGTCTGAACCAAGCTACTCCCTGACCCCCGAGCACTTGCTGTGCGGGCTCCAAGGTCTTTGCAGATGGTCATTCAGTTACCTTCTCCCACCTCTGAAGAGGCAAAAAATGGTCACTATTTATGGTTAACTTTTATATGACCAAGTTCAACAAGCCACTGGTGAGGGGGAAAACAGGAATGGGGGCTCCCTGGGGACTCGCCCCCAGTTCAGCCAAGCCCTGAATCTCAACAAGCCCACCCTGGCCTGAGCCCCACACCTCCAGGCTCCCATTCCTACCTGTGCAGGTGACTCTGGTTCTCAAAGTCACAGCTCTGCCTGGAGAAAAAGAGTGATCAGGAAACACCCACCTGCCGGGCTGCAGGAGCCCACTCCGCTGACAGGGAAGAGGATGTCGGAGTCGCCATGTAGCACCTGCAGTGGAGCCCAGCCATGCATCTGGGAGAGGCAGGAGTTCCCATCCAGTGGCCTGTGGTGAAAGAATACACCCATGTGACCTGAGGGCCGTGACTCACAAGCATCTGCAAGGAATCCACAAGTGCCTTCCAGAAACCAACCAGGCTGTGCTGAAAACACGGGGCAGCAGGGCTCGGAGTAAGGAGCCTGCAGTCCACATGCAGACCTCTTTCAACCCATGTTTCCTGAACACCTACTGTACACCAGGTACTGTGCTCCCTACGGGCGGTAAAAGTTAGCCAGCAAACTATTTAGGAGCTGATAGTCCTGGAGAAGGTGTAAATGGCAGCTCACATGTGTGGAGCTGGTGAGGAAGGTCAAGGAAGCCGAGAAAGCCACCCTAAGAAGGGAGGCTTGAAGAGAGAGCTGGAAGGAGCCCAAGCCCCTAAGGGGAGAGGAGGAACAGGAGGGGAGGGGGCAGGAATGGCGAGTGCGATGGGGGAGGCAGGAGGAACACCACGGGCTCCAGCTTCTGAAATGATGGCAGCCACCTGACCTTCGACTAGTGTGGCTGCCCCTTCACTGGTTCTCATCATGGGTAAAAGAACAGAATCAGACCACGTTACAACTGGGTCCCTTCCAAGGGACAGGCTCAGCTCAAGTATTAACCAGGCTCATATGATCTGTTTTAATGTCACCTTACCCACAAAGCACAAAACCAACACGTGCCATCTTTGTAATGCCAGGCTGGCTCAGCTGAGCGTGTCTGAGAGAGGATTTTCCCACTGCAGCACTGGCAATCAGGAAACACTAATAAATACCAATTTGTATTGATGTAGTACAGGCATCCCTTGGTATCCACGGGGCATTAGTTCCAAGACCCTGGTAAGTCTGAGGATGCTCCAGTGCCTTGTACAAAGTAGCGTAGAGTTTGAATAAAACCTATGCACATCCTGACTGCTGTTCATCTTCCTCTGAGCAGCCTGAGGAAGTCTGTGAAAATGGCTCACTATTCACTTGACCCAGAAAACCCCATAAAGTCATGCAAGTCGAGAGGTTCAAATCTTTGTGTTCACTTTAAGAACACAGGTGAAACTGCCTAGGCCATCAAGAGCATGCATATACAAAAAGCCACCAAGTATCTAAAAGATGTCACTTTAGAGAAACAGTGTGCACTCTTCTGATGTTACCAAGTTAGTAAGTATGCCTAGGACCTGGATGCAGGGTTGGTGGCTCAAAAAGAGTACTGAGTTTTTGCTGCAAATGCTTAAAAATGCAGAAAGCAATGCTGAAATTAAGGGCTTAGATGCAGATTTTCTGGTTCCTCTGGCATAACCAGGTGGAGAGAACACCCAAGATGCGTCCCACCCTACGGAGCTCATGGTCACATTAGCCCATACATGAGCTGCTCTGGCATAACCAGGTGGAGAGAGCACCCAAGATGCGTCCCACCCTATAGAGCTCATGGTCACATTAGCCCACACATGAGCTGCTCTGGCATAACCAGGGGGAGAGAGCACCCAAGATGCGTCCCACCCTATAGAGCTCATGGTCACATTAGCCCATACATGAGCTGCTCCTGCCTCATCAAGGTGACCCTTACCAGCAAGAAACAAATTGCTCTAAAAACAGAAGAGGAGGTTGCACAAAGAAAATGATATCCCAGAAGAAACTGAAGAAACAAAAACTTATAACCTGGAATAGACACAACATAAAATAAATGCAAATAACAGTGAAAAAAAAAGAGTACATTCTCCTGTATTTGTACTTTAAATCATCTCTAGATTTCTTATAATACTTAATACAATATAAAGGCTATGTAAATAGTTGTTGCAGTGTTTTTATTTGTATTATTTTTATTATGTTGTTATTTTTTATTATTTCTTTCGAATATTTTTGATCCACAGATGGTTGAATCCATGGCCCACGCAGAGGGCCAACTGTACTATAAAGTCTATAGAATCACTTTCTAATGAAGATCAAAGCAGACCATAATCACACCACCTTAACAGAGGAAGGAAAGGGGGGACTGGGGAAGGAGGAAAAGAAATCTTAGATATGGAAGAAGGAAAAAGAAAACTCAGAGATGATGTGGCTTACCCAAGGTCAAAGTCACCAGCTGTGAGCAACCAGACTGGAGCCCCAAGATCCACCAAATACAATTCCAATGGGTCAACCACCTTCTGATGTTACTTATACAGTTATTTTTTATTTCATAGCAGGGAGCAACACACTTTCTGTAGACACCCAGACAGTAAACAGTGTAAGCTCTGTGACATTCTTCTGTGGTGGTATCTCTTTACAACTCTTTAAAAATGCAGCAACCATTTGTAACTTAAGGGCAGATTTGGCCTACAGGACAGTCTGCTAGCTCTTCTTTTAGAGGCTATAGGTAAAAACTCCTTTAGTTCTCTCTAGCTTTTGGTAAGACATTTAGAAACAAGGCAGAAACATAGAAAAAAAAAGTCCTAACAGAATTCCACAAAATGTATCATTTAATCCTATGAGACTCAGATAGCAGGCTGGGGGTGAAGGAGGGGCCCCTCCCGCCCATGTCCTGGCAGCGGAACCAGACTTGAGCCAAGTCCCAGATGAGCCTGGCTGTGCCTCTAGAATCTTTTCAGAGACACCGCTACCCTACCCAGAGGCTCTGATCCAGCAGCTGGTGAAAGGGCAGACACCCCAAGACAGTCAGGGAACCTATCAGGAAGAGACAGCAGAAGCAGCCAGGTCCTTCCCAGCTACTGCATGGAGCTCTAGGCAGGTAGGAATTTATATTCCTGAGACAATTCTTGCCCCTCCATGTAACATACACAAGTGCCCCAGACAGGCTGGAAACTCAAGAAAAAGTAAGCTCCAAGGGCCACCATCTCAAGACAAGTTATATGAAAGAGATTCCTGAGGTGGAGACAAACTAACCAGATGGCATCATGCTTGGCTGAAAACATAACGAGTGCTGCTTTTCATTAAGAAAATTAAGACACTTATTTCAAAACCTAGAAAATGCCAAAAGCAAGAGAAAAAAAAAACCAAAAAAAAAAAAAATCCATAGGCACATTACCCAAAACACAAGCAGGTCAGACACAGTCTCCTGAGTGCCTTTTTTCTGGCTTGCTATGCACACTTTTCTTCACACAGTTGTAATGAAACTAAATAGCTCTGATCTCATGTCTTCCGTTCTTCTCTTCCTTAGTGTGTCTTCAGACCACTGGATACTTTTTTTTTTTTTT